ACAAGCAATAAATTATTGGGAGGGCTTTGGAAGGGCTAAATTGCCCAGGCTGGGCTAGCACTTTCTGTCCTGCTCCAGGCTCCAAGGGTGCTGGAATTACATTTATGCACCACCACACCAAACTAGGGGTCCAGTTTGAGTGGATTGGATCTAATAGGTCTTTCAGATAACACCCAGAATATGTCTCTAAATACAGCTGAGAGCCGGAGAGATAGTTCAGTGGCATAAACACCTGCTTTGCAAGCACAAGGTCCTGAGTTCAATCTCCCGTACTACAAAATCAATCAGTCAATCAGTCTGAGCTCAGGAGAGTGACACAGGCTTGGATCAGAGCCTGGAAGTCGTGACTAATAGGTAGCAAGAGGGGATAAGAGAAGAAATCATGTTGCCCCCAAGACAGACTGTATTTTCCAAAGATGGTCCATCCTAGAGGAACAGCCTGGGCATCAGCCAGGTGTGTGGCATATGTCCATAATCTCGGCACTCAGCAGCACTTCAGGAAACTGAAGACAAGGAGGCCTGCAAATTCAGGCCAGCAGAGCAATTTAGTGAGATCCTGTCTCAAAACAAAAAGAAGGTGGGGATGTAGGTCATTGCTAGGGTGCCCTTGTACCATGTGCAAGCTCCAGGTGTCAATCTTCTATATGGAAAAACAACAACAACAACAACAAAACAAAAACCCATATGTTCTCAGGGCCGGCCAAATAGCTCAGCGGATTAAAGCACCTGCTTAGGCAGACACAGGGGCCAGGAGTTCGATCCCTGGGCCTGCTGTGCTGGCCCCACCCCCAGGGCGCGCTGAGGCAGCGCACTGAGATGGCGTGGTGTCGCACACCTGTAATCCCAGCACTCGGGAGGCTATAAACAGGAGGATCACTGCCAGTCCAGTCTACGCAGTGAGACCCTGTAGACCCTGCCCTGAAATACAAAAGAAAATTATGTTCTCAAATTCTTAATGCATAAAAGCCATGTGAGAGAGGATACTAGTATTATCTTGCCCGTTTATTTGCTGAATAGTCATGTGATCAATGGTCACTAATTTGTTGTCTCTTCCCACACTGAAGAGACCCAGTAATGGGGACCCTGCCTAAAGCAGGAATGGTGTATGAGGGCTGTGGCTATAGCTCAGTGGCACAGGGCCTGCCTGGCAAGTGTGAGGTAGTGAGTTTGATTCCCGGCAGTAACAACAATGCAATGAAAAGAAATGATGTATGACATGTAAGGTTACGTCATAAAGGTACTGTGGCTTCCCTTTCGTTCCCCATTAGCTCATTCATTCTAAGGGAAGCCAGTAGTAACTAACAGCAACACCCTAGGAGACTGAGAAACAGGCCTAAATCCTAGTCCTCCAAATTTGTTTCTAATTGCTATAACAAATTACCACAAATGTAGTGGCTTACAATTTTACAAAATTGTTTTCTTCCAGTTCCATAGTAGTTTAAAGCCTACTACAAGTCTCACTGGGCTAAAATCTAGGTATCAAAAAAAAAAAAAAATTAAATTAAATTAAATTTAAAAAAACAAAACTTTGGGGCCCGGGAGATGGCTCAGTGGAATAAGCGCTTCCCTGGCAAGTGCAAGGGCCTGAGTTCGATCCCGGGTTCTGCCAAAAAACAAAACAAAACAAAACAAAATTCCTTTCTGTCAATTGATGGCAATTTTTTTTTTTTTTTCCAGAACCGGGGATCAAACTCAGGCCCTTGCACTTGCCAGGGAAGCACTTATTCCACTGAGCCATCTCCCCAGCCCCTGGATGTTGCTTTTAAAAATCAGATTGGGGCTGGGGGGATTGCTCAATAGAATAAGTGCTTGCCTGGCAAACACAAGGGCCTGAGTTCAATCCCCAGTTCCACTAAAAAATTAAATAAATAAAATAAAAATAAAAAGAAATCAGTAGATTACGTGAGTATGGCGTGGTGGTGAATGCCTGTAATCCCAGCACTTGGGAGGCTGAGGCAGAGGGACAGAGGGATCGTTTTGAGGTGGAGACCAACCTGGGCTATAAAGTGAACTCAAGGCCAGCTTGAGCTGCATAGCAAGGCCCTGTCTAAAAATTAATAATAAATAAATAAAATCAGTATATTAGCAATTCTCTGCAATTTTAATTCCTCTTTTGCCACATAAGTAACAGTCACATGTTCCTGGGGCTGGTGAGATAGCGTGGCAGTGTAAGTGCCTGCCTAGCAAGAGCAAGAACCCGGGTTTGATCCCTGTTACTGCATGCTGTGCCAACCACCAAAATTGGCATGGTGGCACACGCCTGTAATCCCAGCTCCAGGGAGGCTGAGACAGGAGGATCACTGTCGGAGTTGTGTAGTGAGACACTGTACCAAATAAATAAAAGACTAAGGGCCGGCTAGCTATCCCAGTGGACTAAGCACCTGCTTAAGCAAGCGCAGGAACCAGGATTCAATCCCCAGCACCACATGCTGTGCCAGCCACCAAGACCCACCATGGCGCATGGCTATAATCCCAGTGCCAGAGAGGCTGAAACAGGAGAATTACTATAAGTGTGAGCTGCATAGTAAGACCCTTTACCAAATACATAAATAAATAAAAGATTAAAAAAAATTAACAGTCACGTGTTCCAGAGATTGGGACATGCATGTTTTTTGGAGACCATTATTTGACCTGCTACTTCCTGAAATAAGCGAAATAGATCTGAGAAGAAGCAGGTACAGAGGAAGGAGGGCCTGCAGGAGAGGGGCCATTACAGCCAGAGGAAAAGGGAGTTCACAGGAGACAGTGTGCAGCAATGACTAATCCCGTGGGAGGTTAAGCAGGCAGAGATTTGAAGAATGACCACTGGATTTGGAATCTTGGTGACCCCACCACTGACTGTCAGGGGAGTGTCTGGGGAAGAAGTTAATGTGGTGGGCAGCCAGTAAGAGGGAAGGAAGCAGAGAACAGGAATGTGAGTCTCATCTCAAACCTTGCCTGCAAAGAAGGGATAAGGATAACGAGGACGAGGGAGCTGGCAAGGGCCACTGGGCCAAGGAAGACTCATTGCTGTTTCCCCAAAAAAGAAGAAGCAGGGGTGGAGATGGCTCAGTGGAATAAGCGCTTCCCTGGCAAGCGCAAGGGCCTGAGTTCAATCCCCGGTTCCGAAAAAAAAGAAAGAAGGATAAAAAGGTGAAGTGGAAGGAGGTTGTAGCCTCATCAGTGTCTGAATCGGACCCAGGTTGTGGATGTGTGAGTACAGTATACTTAGAATAGGGCTTGACATAAAGCGCTAAATGCTTTTAGTCACATCACTAATACTACTACATTTCCCATGACAACTTGCAGCCTCTCCGACTACAATTCCCGTCAGGCCTGCAGGTGATTTGTCTGCGGTAACCCTGTCCTTAAATCCAGTTTACAGCCCCAGCATTCCTAGCTGTTTTCCGTGCTCTCCGTGGCAAGTACGAAGTGCAGAGGATAGCCAATAGGATCGGGGAGTACGAGCCTACGCCAACCAATCACCAAGCTGGAGGGCGGAGCTCCTCCAGGGCTCCGCCCCACTCCGTGGTTGGTTCTCAGCCACCTGGCCCTGGGGCAGGACCTGCAGACATGGGCTCCACCTGGAGGAACCCCGGGTGGGTGCGGCTCGCGCTGTGCGTTGCAGGCCTGGCGCTCTCTCTCTACGCGCAGCACGTGAAGGTGGCACACGCCCGCGACAGGGAGTACCGCGCGCTCTGCGACGTGGGCACTGCCATCAGCTGCTCTCGCGTCTTCTCCTCCAGGTGCGCGCGGAAAGCGTGGCAAGAAAGTTTGGGGTCTTGGGTAGTAGGCGTTCGTGGCGGCCAGGGTGCCGGATGATTTTGGAGGCTGAGATCAAAGTGCCCGAGGAACAAACATTCTGAACCTGGACTGCTCGAGAGGATGTGCACAAGGGCTACTCAGAGATCTCATGCGTGTCGGGTCAGGGGCAGAGACTGTGGGGAATTTCATGTGGATCCGAATGACAAGGAGTGATCCCAAAGGGGGGAGATAGCGCAAAGGGACTGGAGATGGGCCCAGGATGGCTGCGAGGGATGGGGGTTGTTGGGGACGGGACGGGGTTGGGGGGTGCCTACATCTGGGTATGCTTGTGGATCGGGGTTGGTGGTTAGCAGAGTGAGGGAAAATGGAGGGGGTGGGTGACATAGGAACTGGAGACTCTTAGGCTCAAAGCAAAGAGGAGCCTCAGGGTTCCCAGTGTGTTTAACTCCAAAGAGTG